ACGTGATAGTTGTTCATATTTATGGGGATGTACATGTAGTGATATTTTGATACAAGCATACAATAATGTGCAATGATCAAGTCAGGGCAATTGAAATAGCATTCACTTAAAACATGAAGCCTCTTTTATAAGGGCTTAATTCTATTAATGTGGGAGGAACACTGATGGCTCAATTACCTCTTAAAGGCTCACCTTTTCATACTGTGACATTGGCAACACTTGAATTTTGGAGGGAACACATTGAAACTGTAGGAACAGCCATGTGACATTTAAAGAATATAAGAAAGCAAAAATCTATTTTATTTGTGTATTTATAATCTCCAGTGCACTGCCTTTTTTTCTGTATGTATGAATTTACATCTGATAATATTTCACTTCAGCCTAAAGACTTTCCTTTAGTATTTCTTGTGTATTGTGTCTGCTGGCAACAAATTCTCTCACCTCATTATTTGAAAATGTCTTTAATTTATCTTTATTTTATATCCGGGAAAAGATATCTTCCCTGGATAAAGAATTCTTTGTTGACCATATATATACGTATATGTGTATGTGTATATATACATATATATATAATTATATAAATATACATACATATGTACATATATATATATATATATATTTTTTTTTTTTTTCCCTCTGTCAGCATTTCTAAAATGTCATTCCACTCTCTCCTGGAATCCATTGTCTGATAAGAAGTCTCTTTAGATTCCCACTTCTGTTCTCTTATATATAATGTCTTTTTTCTCTGGCTTCTTTTAAGATCTTTCTGTATGATTTCTGACTCTGAAATGCCCAGGCATTTCATGTCATATTTATCCTGCTTGGGGTCCCCTGAACTGAGAGAATTAACATATGCATTACCTCATATATATCATTTTTTGTGGTGAGAACATTTAAAATCTATTCTGTCAGCAATTTTCAGTAATACAATATATTATATTGATGAGTTGATGTTTTTGATCAAATGTGGAAACTTTCCTGCCAGTATATCCTCCAGGATTTATTCTTTTGTCCTTTTATCTTCTTTTTTTTGGAATTTCAGTTATGTATATTAGACCTCTTTATTCTGTTTGGCAGGTTATTGGGACTCTATTCATTATGTTTCGGTTTTTTCCTCTGTGCTTTACTTTGTATTATTTCTGTTGACCTAGCTACAGGTTCATTGATGAAACAGAGACTAAAGGATTCAAAGCAGGACAAAGACCTGATCAAATCAGTATCTTATTATAGAAAAAAAAAAAATCACTCTTCTCTGAAACCTGGCTCTACCCCAAGTCTTCAGTCTTCTTGGTTGGCTTCAACATCTCCTGGATAGCCCACTCACCCGCCGGCCTCAATTCCATGACCTTGTCATCTTCATTGACTTCCTGCTCTGCTCCTGAGTTGTCGGGTACTCTACTCATAAGTCATACATTGAACCTCATCATGGCCTGAAACCACTTCACCTAAAAATCAGCCCTGAGCACATCCTTCTTTCATTCAAGCTTGTTTTTGCATCTACCCCATAAGGAGTGGTTTTCTTTTCTACTGAGGTCTTCTATCCATAGACCCCTTTATCCTTTCCCAATCCATCACTCTTTTTATTCTTTAATTCCTCCCTGAACCCAGCTTATATTCCATGGTCTGTTATTTCAGTAACATTTTGCCAGTACTTACAACTCCCTTTCCCTTCAATCCTGTTAGTAGTCTCTTGGTCAAGACCTTGATGAAACCTACTGGCTGCCTACTCTGTGTCTGAACCTGGAATCATTGCAGACTGATTTTCACCATGCTTATAAGATCACAAATTAAAGAACCTTCAGTATTGTTCAGCAATTATGCTTCTCCAATCAACATGCCTTAACATTCTTAGCGGTGACTATTGTAAACTTTCCCCATGTTCCTTAAACCTTCCACATATTCCTTTCTCTCAGAGGATGACTTCTCCTCCTACTTTACTCAGACAATTGAAGCCCTAAAATAATTTTCTCACTAACAAAAACCAAACCCTGTTCTTTCCTTTTCTTGATAATAGGAAAAGAGACACCTCTTTTATAAGGCCTCCAGCCATGTTTGGGTCTGTCTTCTTTCACAGTCTCAGGAATATATACTTTTTTCTGGTCTTACGGTCAGCTAGCTGCTCCCTCTTAGCTGGACCCTCTGATCACATACATTGGAGGAAGATACGAAAAACATAAACTACATCCCCTGTAACATCCCCTCCTCCCTATTATAGCTAAACTTCTGAGAGTTACCCACCTCTACCTTCTTTTTGCTTAGCCTTCAAAGAAGGGCATTACTTCTTAATACTCCAGTTTGAATTCTGCTACCTTGCCCTGTTTGTTTGTTTCTCTTTAGGCATCCAGTGTCTTTTCCTGTTTTTATATATTTTGTATCAATCTTAGTATCAGATCTGCAAATTTTTGCCTTCAGATTTACAAAAGTTGGAAACAGCCTAAATGTCTGCCAATAGGAATGAATAATGGTTAAACAATGGCATACTCATGTGACACAATACTATAGTTTAAAAGGAATGAAGTTGATATATATGGAAAGCTCTTCAAGACACATTGCTGCAGTACAGTCACAACAGTAGTGTGATTCCATATTGAGCTACATTTTTTTTTTTGAGACCTCACTGCAACCTCCACCTTCCAGGTTCAAGCAATTCTCATGCCTCAGCCTCCTGAGTAGCTGGGATTATAGGCGCCCACCACCACACCTGGCTAATTTTTATAATTTTAGTAGAGATGGGGTTTCACCATGTTGGCCAGGCTGGTCTTGAACTCCTGACCTCAAGTGATCCACCTGCCTTGGCCTCCCAAAGTGTTGGGATTACGGGCATGAGCCATCACACCCAGCCCATTGTATATGTTTAAGTTATAGGTATATGACTATAATTTTCAAAAGGGTGTCCACCAAACTTCTAGCTTTCATTACTCTGAGGATGTAAATGGAGTTGGGAAATGATGAGAGTACTAAAGCAAGACTTTCATCATTAGATGCTGCTTTCAGTTATTTCATTATTTTTTACAGTTAACATGTACAGACAGATATTGCTTAACAGTGGAGAAACATTCTGAGATATGTATTGTTAGGCAGTTTTGTCACTGTGCAAACATCATAGAGTGCACTTGCACAAACCTAGACAGTAGAGCCTACTCCACACCTAGGCTGGGTGGGACAGCCTATTGCTCCTAGGCTACAAACTGTACACACGTGATTGTGTGTACAGTACACTGTAGGCAGTTGTAACACATGGGAAGTGTTTGCATATCTAAACCTAGCTAAAGATAGAAAAGGCACAGCAAAAATACTGTACTAGAATCTTAGGGGATCACCATAGTATATGTTTCATTGTTGACTGAAACATTATTATGTGGTGCATGAGTGCATTCAGATGTTTTGCAGTTTTAAAATGCTCAATGTTCAAGAAAGATATAAGTTTTCCAAAAGGCATTTGATATTTTTCAAAGGTGGAGTGTGTTAGACATTGTGAACATATTTTGTCAACTACAAAATGCCAGAGATGGCTTGTGCCATGCTTTTTCTTGTGACTTCATTAAAAATAAAGCCATATTTTCATACATACCAATAACTCACTCGTCTATAGATAGAATTTTAAAATATTCTTATTTTAAAATCTTTAACAGATTTTGGAGAGAAATCTTCTGATGTTATAAATTTGAATATTGTTAAAGAAGTAGTGAGTCTGAAGCTTCTTTTAGTCTTTTAGTCTGAATGCTGGCTTTCCATCATCACAGTGACTCAACACTTTTGTCATAAAGAGTGGGAGAAGGGCATGGGGACAACTGTCATGTACTGAGTGCCTGCTGGGCCTGGGCCCATGATTTTCACATATATTAGTTTATTGAAACCTTTCTCTAGCTTGGTTGCTAAATAACTTGACGGAGGTTCCAGAGCAAGTAAGCAGGGAGCAGAAATTTGAGCCCCCGTCTCTCTATCTTCAAGGCCCATTTTCTGCTTTATTTTAAATTAAATAAATTATATAAATAGACTTTCAGTTTAAGTACTTCAGAAAATAGCTATAGCAAAAAAACTAAGTGTACCTTTTTTACAGTGCCCTCTTCCACCCTACCTCTCTCTTAGGAGAGACTACCTCTCTCCTAAGAGGTAATGATTTTATTAGTTTAGTGTATAGATCTTTGTGTGTTTGTGTGTATATGTGCACGCATGTACTTTTATACATATTTGTGTATATAAAATTTTAAAGACAAACATTTAAAAAATGAAATCATACTGGACATTTTCAGTATTATCCATGAATTTTCTATTTGCCTCCCTTTAAAAAATGTTTTTTTCCTTCCTGATCTCCAGATTCTACAAGAGCTTTGTGTCTCAAATTCATTATTATTAAATAATTTCCTCATTTGTATAAAAGGCTATTACTATGATTGCTGGTCAGGATGAAATAACTTTTAACCCACTGAGTTTTATAATTCTTGTGAAAAGCAAAACCTGTATTTTGTTCATTTTTGTGAACAACTCTATAATTGCTATTAGTGTTAGGTTTTCTAAATAAAAAAGTGGCTCTTGAACCCCTCTTTCTTTGAGATCCCTTAAGGGGTGTGTGTTTGGGGATAGCATGGTATTGTGCCATGGGACTCAGGATCATAGGGCAAAATGGGGTTGTAGTGGTCAGGCTTCTCTGCCAAGGACAGACACACGAGGTTTGCCTTGCTCGCGTCACATTCAGTTTGAAACCTCCCTTGACAGTCTGTGATGGATTCACATCAGTATTTAGGATATATGTACTTTTCACCAGGCTGGGTTTCCATCATGGCAGAAGCAATGAAATCTCACCACATTATGGAGGCTTCACATGCTGCCAGAATCCTGGCGAATCTAGACCGAGAAACTGTGCAAGAAAAATACCAGGATGGTGTGTACGTGCTGCATCCCCAGTATCGAACGAGGTAAGGAAGCAGAAGATAGTTGCTTTGCCCTCTTTGGGAATGTGAAGCCTAGAGGCCTCAAATTTTTAATTTATTTCTGCATAATTCAGATAAGTTAAATACAGGTCAAATATCTTATTTTCCAAAATTGTCTATAGTAACCACCGAAGAATTGGAAGTGGTTGTGAAAAGTATGTGAAGTAGCTAAATTATCGGGGTTATTTTACAAAGGGCTTCCCCTCAGTAAGGTTGCGTTCACCTTTGATAATGCGTCACACTTAAACTTTGTAACACACATCTTCTTTGGTTCAAGGCATTTTCTCTTAGATTTGAGTTAATAGCTGATTTGGATTGTAGAAGTCAGCTGAATAGGAAGGAGATAAGACCTTGTCTTATGTGGCAGCCAAATTAGCCTGGGCCTAGAACTCAAGGGACTGGGGAAAGTTTATGCTAGTTATAAAAGCATCCATTGAAAGGAATAAGTTGTAATAAATTTGACTCATGCTCCTTCTTAAGGTTATTTGTGGTCATTATATCTAGTTGTATAATTGCTAAGACAATAAATATAGAAGGGACCACACTGAAAAAAATAGCACATTTCTTGGTTTTCTTAGGGCACTTTACAAAAAATGCCTCAGAAAATAGCAAAACTTCTTTTAAATTAAAAAAATGGGCCGGGCGCAGTGGCTCAAGCCTGTAATCCCAGCACTTTGGGAGGCCGAGGCGGGTGGATCACGAGGTCAAGAGATCGAGACCATCCTGGTCAACACGGTGAAACCCCGTCTCTACTAAAAATACAAAACATTAGCTGGGCATGGTGGCGCGTGTCTTTAATCCCAGCTACTCAGGAGAATTGCCTGAACCTGGGAGGCGGAGGTTGCGGTGAGCCGAGATCGCGCCATTGCACTCCAGCCTGGGTAACAAGAGTGAAACTCCGTCTCAAAAAAAAAAAAAAAAAAAAAAAAAAAGGATTACCTGGTTAAAGAAGTTTTGCTGTTATTATAATTTATAAATAAAATGTTATGGTAATGTATTTTATATGTGCGTTGCATAATTGTATGTGTACTATAAATAGCTTGCAACTCACATACTGTCTACAATTTTTAATGGATCATATGCAAAGAATGAATGTTACTTTGAAATCCTATAAGTATTAGTTTTCTTAATATATTTTCAAAAATCTCTTTTATACATATTGACTTTGAAACTGTTAGTAGCATGTTCTTTAATTTCTTAAATACTTTTATTGATTTGTAGAATATTCTCAAATGGAAGTCTTTAGAGGGTAATCTGACTATGACCTCTGTCTCTTGATTGACTGCTAAAGCTCATTATAATTGACTGTGGTTGGTCTGCCTGACTAGATAAGTCTCCGTTTTTAGAGAGAGAACAGTGAACATGCTTTATGTGTGTCTTTGGCAAAGCTCCTTCTAGGGTTCCTCAGCAAACCTGTGCTTATAAATCTTGCTTTAATTCAGTTTTATTTTATGTCACATAAACCTGCTTAAAGCACCATCCACAGAGAATGCTGTGTAGATTCTTACCAAAGCAATAATGCATTTATTCTGCTTCTTTTTAAAACTCTCTCCCCTATTAGTCAGCCCATTAAAGCAGATGTCCTTTTTATTCATGGCCTTATGGGAGCAGCATTCAAAACATGGCGCCAGCAGGACAGTGAGCAGGCTGTAATTGAAAAGCCTACAGAGGATGAAGACAGATATACGACATGTTGGCCCAAGGTAAGGGAGCCACTGACTCTGGCCCTGGTTGTTGGGTCCCTGACTGTGACTTGCTTGTTTTTCTCTTTGTACTGGGATTTTTTCCTATGCAGTTCTTCTTTCCCTTAGGGACATTTGTAGTATGTTACGACAACAACTGGGCTTGTCACCCTATGTTGTATAATTTCCGTTTGGTGTAATGTGTATGACTCTAAGAAAATATTAGGTAAAAAATAGGAGCAAGAGCCAGTAATAATTCACTTTTGTTGTAATATAATACAAAAAAATTATATAACCACAATTGTATTTATAATAGTTACCTAATTCTATGACCTTAATAATTATAAAAATGGAAAGTCTTTGAAGAAGTAATTATACTTTGCATTTCTTTCTTGTTCTTTTTTTTTTTTTTTTTTTGTTTGAGATAGGGGACTCACTCTGTCACTCAGGCTGGAGTGCAGTGGTGCAGTCCTAGCACACTGCAGTTTCAACCTCCCAGGCTCAAACAATCCTCCCACCTCAGCTTTCTGGGTAGTTGGGACCACAGGTACATGCCATCACACCTGCCTAATTTATACTTTACATTTCTTTGGTATTATTTCTCCCATAAGAACCTTAATTCTGGAATGAATTTATTGAATGGAATTTACCTAAAGCTCATTTAAGAGTGATGCTGCATATATGTGTGAATAGTTTCTAGGGCATTGTTCCATTACTGCTTACTCTCCTTCACAAAGGCTTATCAAGTAGAAGAATGATTTGTACTTTCTGGTGGCACTGAAGTACAGAGATGGTGATAAACCCAGGGCACACAGAGATAGAACTGTGACCATTATTATTAGTGTCTCTGAATTCTCAGATCCAGAATCTGTCAGACTATACCATCTGTCCTGAGATGATAGCTTTCTACTAAATTCTTTCAAAAAGGCAATTTGATGTAGACTTTAAAATGCCTTCCTTTTGGCTATAGCAGGTTAAAATGGAAAATAACTCTCTTGAAACCTTCATTGGCCTTATGCTATATATTGGTACCATTTTGAGACCAGAGACATAAAAAGATAAAATTCTGGAATTGTTTTTACAGTACCCTCAAACCTTATTCCAGTGCTGTCTTTAATTATAGTGTAAGAGGCCTTTAGTTATAAATTTCATTTTCTAGGCAGTAATTGCAGTGGTGAAGATTCATACTTGTTCTCATGTACATTTTATTTTACTTAGACATGGTTAGCAAAAGACTGTCCTGCTCTTCGAATTATATCTGTGGAGTATGACACCAGCCTCAGCGACTGGAGAGCAAGGTGCCCTATGGAAAGGTAACAGGCAAATTTTAGACCAGAAGGACAGGGAAGAATTCAGGCTGCAAGTTTAGGCCCCCTGGGATGGGAAGTGATTTTAATTTTTTGATGCCATTGACAGGATTTTCTTTTTTTTTTTTTTTTTTT